ATAATTAACCAGATTTTGCCGATTTCAGGTACAGTCTCAACAACTTCAACCGAGTCATCCATTTTCACCACCATGAAAAGCCTCAAGTTTCCAATAATAGGTGCAAAACTATTAAAACATGAACGGGTTTGTAGAATTGGTTTTCTGTTGTATTAGTGATATTTCAGTGTGTCAAATTATAGCCAATTTGCCATAAATACATTCAAAACTTAACCCAATAAAAAACTGCAGCATAAGTTCATATCACAGAAGAAACGTTTAAAGTTAATAAACAAATTAGATCTTTTATGAAACAGCTACACACCTACAGCCTTTGGAAGGAAAATGAAATGTGTATAAACATTTTCAGGGTAGAAAAGTGTCTCCTTTGGTAATCCAGAGGTCAAATAATAAGAATAGCGATCTCTTAACAGAAGGATTGAGATTTTAAAACCAACAAACGGCCATCCATAAGGGAGCTAAGTGTCAGCATGCAAACAAGTAGGGTAAGAGATGGGATAATGACCAAACATCTAAAGGAGAACATGTGCTTAAGAAGTGAATCTGCAAGAAGAAGAATAATTCATTGTTCTTTGTCAATGAAATCCTTATTTCCCAAATGCAAAACACCATTACATTAGATTTATGAAGTGCCAAAAACCTTCAGAACTAACACTGATAGCACTTTACCGGTAGGTGGTAATGCATGTCTCCAAAATTACTTGTGTGGTATACTCGTGGTGCATTCACTTATCAAAATATGGGTTTGGATTTTAAAACCACTACTACGCATGTTCTACAGAGAGTAATGATGTGCAATTCAAAGTAGCTTTACCATTTTAAGCAAACTTATTTTGAACTTTAACAAAACTTAAAGTCCTCCACCAACTTGACAGCAGATTACTGTATCTAAGAATTAAAGCAGATAATTGACCACAATTGGGCAAACAGGTAACTACCTTCTAATACTAATGTATTTAGTACCCTATGACTCTGTTTGGTAGACTTATATGACTTATTTTGCTTAATGAGTATAATAAGTAACTTTTGACGAATGCATCAGGGCAGAAGTAGATGTTACGAAATTTCATCCTATTTGGTCACACCATTAAATTGTACTCCATATTGAAACTGACAAACATGCCCTAAACTAGCTTCCTCGAAGGGGAAATCAGTGTCATATATAATTTTAGTGGTCAATGTGCATCTGTTACAGCTCAAGTTGAAAAGCCCATTGGTATGACACTATAAAGACTATCACTAAAACTGCAGGTATAAGAAAATCCCAATACAAAACATGCCCTAAACTAGCCTCCTCAAATAGGAAATCAGTGCCATATATACTTTTAGTGGTCAATGTGCATCTGTTACAACTCCAGTTGAAAATCCCATTGGTATTACACTATAAAGACTATCATTAAAACTGGGGGTATATGGAAATCCCTATTAGAAAATTCCCTAATGAAGTATGTGAGTTGACTGGAAAAGATTGTACCTTTCGGAACGGTTAAGCCGAGCACCAAAGTAGAAAGCCACAGCGAGCAGCCATGAATCAGTGTGCATAGCCACCAAAGTCAGCCAATCTCTTTTATCCATCCCATCCCTTGCAAAATTGATGCCTAGAACTGGCTCTGGTATCTCGGGCGGAACATCCTCAGCAGGCAATGTGACTTCCCATGACTCATCCGGGTGACCATACAGGCACAAATTATCTTTCTCTGCACAAAAGAATCCGCCTCACACAATCAAAACCCGAAAAGCAAATTCTTTTCTCACAAAAATGAAGTAATATAACCGTTAACAGCTGGTCTACCTGGATCGCACTGTGAGAAGAAGTCGTCCACATCTGCAAAATTCCAGAAAAAAGAAGTGAATCAGTGTTCATATAAACTAATAGTTCAGTTCAGCGACGAGTGCTAGCGCATATACAATGCATGTATCATAAATGCGAAAGTTGAAGAGTAGTGGTTCACCGCGAGTAAGGGCTTGGATAACGGCGGAGCGGCGGGCGGAAAAGTTTTTGAAGATTTCTTCAACGGAGCGGGGATTTGGAGGACAAGAAGCCATGTTGATCGGCGCCTCTACAGTGTAGTGAAGATCTGTGGTTATGATCGTAAATAAGCAGAGAGATGACGCCGATTAATGGGGGATTTTCTAATTTAAGTTGCAGTGCCTTTGTCTGAATACCGGCAGGGCTTAATTTACACGGGCGGAGATTTAGGGCAAACGTGTATGCCGCAAATCCCTAAACAGTTAGTAAATGCGTTATTTTAAAATTTATTTAAAACTCTTTAAAATAGTTTTAGAGGTCGTTTGTCAACACTGTTTTCGGGTTATCAGGCTTATCAGACAATTTTTTCACCAAACACACAATTTTTGGTTTCACGCGCTGAATTGTGTAATAAGCAGAAAAAGTAAGGTTGAAGTTACTTTTCTGGCTGCATTGTCTGAAGTTACTGTAGATGACTATTTTAGCTATTTTACATATAATTTTTTCTTTATTTTATTAATAAAATATATTTTAAAGTTAATTTTCCTTAAATCAACAGAATCAGCCAAAACAACCACTCCAGCCAAAACTTCATAAACTTCAGCAGAATAAGCTAAAACAACCGATTTTCGTGCTACAAAACGGGCTCTTAGAGAGGAAGTGGAAACAACTTATTTTAAGAAAATTATCTCGGGGTTATGCCAAAAATATTATTAAAAAATGAGTATTGGACAAAAATGTAACATGTTTTTTCAATTTTCAAAAAAGATTAAAAAGAGTTTAAGAGACTATTATACTCTAATACTAATATAATCTCATTCACTAATGTTACGATAACTTCTTCCAAAAAAACAGTGTTACGATAACGCTACAGTGACCAAAAATCCGACTCGTCAATTACAGTTACACGACCAGTTACATTTATTCGACCTCCCACTCTCACAACACTTACATGACTTGTCGGTTATAGTTACCTGATCGGTCAGTTACAGTTACTTGACCGGTCACTTACAGTTATATGACCTGTAACTTACTCGACTAGTCAATGACCAACGCTCTCCTCACCTATGACCACCAGCGTCGTCACCGGCCACCACCGCCGATCATCACTGCCAACCACCACCCCGACTCGACTCCCCAACACCCAGCCATATCCTCAACCCTAGTCCTCAACCACCTCCACAACTGTTAGAAAATAGAAGATGTTGTAGGTGTATAAATATGATAAGTGATTTTAGTGAGGTGTAGTGTAGAGGATGTGTTTTAGAGTTCAGACTTTATTTCTTTGTCTCTAAAACAATCGACTTATTAGCATCTTGTTAATCAAATTAATCGTATTAACATGTTAATATAACAAGTGTATTCAATAATATTAAAAAACCGGTCACCACCACGTCACCAGTAGAGTGCCAAGTGTGCATGTGACGTGGCAATTTAAGTGGGCAAATAAGCCGCACCTGAACTCGATTGAATCGTTCAATTTACCTTTTCAGCCATTAAGCAGGTCAAAATTACGAAAAATAAAAGGGAAAATGAAAAGATGTATTGTATTAATATTGTTTGGTTTGCTTGGTGAGCAAATGAGTACAATGGATCATATTTATAGGTGTTAAAGGATAATTCTAGATCCTTATTAAATGCTAGGAATCTAGAGTATTCTACTTCTAATAACTCTAACTCTACTTAAGAATTCTCTAGTAGAGAATTCTCTAGAACATCATTTCCATTAACTCTCTAGAACATTTCTAGCTTTAACTACATAGAATATTCTAGATAAATGCATCACTATTTAATAACAACCATGTCCCGGCCCCCCGCCACCCCAACCCCTCCCATATCCCCATCAACCTCCCAAGCCCCCTCCACAGCCCACCCTAGCTCCCCCACCCCATCTCCATATCCCCAGTCTCATCTCCCCAACCCATGTTACCCAAATCATCCCATTACCGAAACCCCGCTATTCCCAGTCGCCGCAAACATCATTGCAGATCTGGGATAGCATCCGCCTAGGCGACGCCAAACAAAAAGATAAGAAAAAGAAGTTGGGCAGGGCAATGTCGAGGGCTAGGGTGACGACGACGAAGAAGATCTGGTTGTGCTCTGTTACTGATGTGAGGCAAGGGCGAAGGTGACGGCGGCAGCCAGGGCAGCTAAGTCAGTGACGATTTGTTGTTCTGTCGGCGGAAGAGGTTGATGTCTCTATGTCTGCTTGATGCATTCGTCCTTGATGCAGGAAGAAGTTGAGTTGACGTAGCGAAGTCGGACATTTTCAGTCATTTTTTGTCCAAACAGATCAATTTAATCTTATCTTTAACTTTCCATAAGGTGGGAGTCTCATCTTTGTCAGTCTTTCAATTATCTCTCGTATGACTTAGAAGTTGTTGACTTGATCATTTTACCAGTTTGGCATGGCCACGAAGTCGAAAAACATCAAAACCCGAATGAATCGGTTAAACACAGTCAAAACTTGACAAAAACGGGTAAAATTAAGTTATGGTAAGTGTTTAATTACAGTCTACAGTTCCATATATTTAGAGAGGTTTAAGATAATATTACTTTGAATGAAATTACGACAACTTATAAAGCAAAAGAATTAACTTTTAAACCCAAAACCTCTAAAACCATGAATATAACTTGTAACAAAAAATAATACTCCCTCCGTCTCATTAGAAGGTTCTCACTTTCCTTTTTGGATGCCCCATATAAAGGTTCTCATTTCCATTTTAGGAAACAATTAACAATCTTAAGTGACAAATTAATCATTAAATATTAAAAATAATACATATATATTATCACAGTTATCAATACTAATTACATTATAATATATACATATTAAAATTATTTCTCAAAATATACTCGAAATACTTTATTTGATTATTGTCTAAATAACCGTGCCATTTTGGTATGAGAACCTTCCAACGGGACGGAGGTAGTAACTTTTAAACCACGAGGGTTAACTTTTACTAAAAATGTTAGGTCCTCTATAATTTAAGATCTTCATATACTTGCTAAGATTAACAACATTTTTTTAGCCAAACATTGTAATTTATCTAAATGCAATGTGATTGTTTTCCCTACACTTCGCATAAGTTTAAACTGGGTGCAAAGATTTAATGTGTAAACTACGAAATGAGCTCTTATCTACCATCCCCCATTTAAAATCCCATATAGCTTGTGTAATACAATGGATCTACAAATTTGTTCTTTCTAACCATATCAATATTACACCTGGTCTTTTGCTACGAAGATTCTGCACCTGGTTTATCTAAAATTGACTCCGAATCATCCCCGGCATCAACTTTATCTCCCAAAATGTATTCAACCACAAGTCCAAGATTGTCCACCAATTTATGATATTTTGCGCACCCTGAACACTGGAGATAGACAAGTCCTCTTTCATAAGCTAAGCGGTTTATGAACCTTTGAGATTGAGCACCACATGAGTTGCATGTGAAAGTGGCCAAAAGCTTTCTCCTTGGATGCTTCAAGTCAATGACCATTTCCCCTGATTCTGATAAATTTTTAGGCTCATCCACCAAACAAGAAACCATAGGCATCCGGACCAGCTTCTTTTTTGCTTCCCATTTTTGGTTATAAATACTCAACCTGGGAGGTTTGAGGTTGTGATGACATGGAAAGGAATAAATGGGTAAAGGGGATTTAGGCAAGGACGGAAATGATGTCAAAGGATTATGATTGTGCAAGGCGCTAGCTCTGCTTGTAGTCATCCTGAGTTATAAATTGTAACAATTGTAAGTATTTTTTTAATCGAAATGTTTCAAAACACATAGGGATATACATATATGCCCATGGAAGTAAGTTCTATGAAATAAATCATAACTTATAGGAGTTATAGCTTAACCACTCTAAACGAAAAATAGAGCCCCACGAAGGTAAAATAAAACATGTGAGATTACCAAGAAATTAAAACAATCAGTAGCAACAACAAATTTACCACGTAAGTTCTAAGGAAAATTAATGAGAAAAGAGAAACGAAAAATGTGATAAGCAGCAAGAGTAGTTATATTTTCATTTGGAAAGTTTCAAAACACGTTAGGCATATACTAATTGAATCAGAAAGATAAATTCTAAATAAAAGACATAATTTATAACTTAACCACTAGATCAAAATAGTGATAAAATAAGGAAGTGTGAGATTACATAGATAGCAATTAAATGGGAAAGCTTCTGTTGCCATGTCTATTTTAGCCACATGCTCACATATAAGTTATAAATATGATCAAAAGGCTACTTATTTAGTTGATACGATTACAAGAAAAATATGTCATATATACCTACCAAAGGCCTTTTGAGCAAACCTGTTCATCTTGTAAGAACTAAGCAACATAAAAGCTATCAAATTTCTTCAATATTCAATCTTGAAAAATCCGATTATTGAAGAAACCAGTGTGACACAGGGCCTAATGAGAAAAAATTGCATGACTTGTCATGATAATCTTTTGAATGTTTTCATATTTAAAATTGTGTGATAACTTTTGGGGGAAGAAATCAGCCATTATAGGTTTAAGTGTCTAACTTAAATTGTAACACGACAAAAGTATGTGAAAAGAAATTGAGTAACTTGATTTGTTTATTTAGACAACATCAAAAATTAATGAAAAACAGGCAACCTAAAACAAGTAAAATATCACTTAGTTACTGTTTTCTTCTGTTTTCAATTTTGAAGGAACACAAAACTCCACAAGTGAAAGAAGATATCAGAAAGTCACAATTTACAAGAGATTCTGGATGCCTTCCAGAATCACATTGCTGCCAATGGGAATGACACAAATCACAATCACTTTAATAATAAATCTGAAAAAATGGCCATTTCATTTTGTCATAAACAACTAAAAATGTCAAAATCATATACGCACATTAATAGTTTAATACTAAATGTAATTGCAAACAGCAACTAAAAATATTTAAAAAAAACTCGTATAGACTTATATTCTTATTCACGGCCAATTGGCCAACAAAAATAAAAATTACCTCAAAGTTTGAAAGTAAATCTCAAACTAGAAAAAGTAAAACAAAAATAAAGCTCAAAGTAGATAAACATACCGAAAGTCTGAACTCAGACCTAGCGAGTAGCAGCACTGCGGCATTCCGACAGAGTGGGCCGCGGAATGCTGTCGTACGACGAAGGATTACGGCGGAGACGAGCGACGGGAGTGACAGCGGATGGTGGGAGATTGGAAGGAGCGGGACTTGCGACCGGCGGCTTCGAGAGTTTGAGTTGCAAAGATAGGAAGAGGGCCAGGAAGCAGAAGACTAGGAGCGTTGATTACGATTGGCAAAACACTTTATACTATTATCCGAAATATATTTGTACATTGGAGAATAGATTTGGTAAAATATCTGAAATATATTAAATTATTTGTAAGCGATCTGCGAATCGTGCGGCTCATGCTTTAGCAAGAACGCATGTTACTATCTCAGATCATAGTAGTAGTTATGATTCTATTCCGGATTGTATTGTAAGCCAAGTGGCGAATGACTTGTTGAATTAATGAAAGATGTTGAGTCCCGGTTCAAAAAAAAAACTGATTTTTCTTGCAATGGGGAGGGGGCCGGGGGCGGTTTAGGTCTCCTAGACTCGCCTTATCTCTGTTGGGCGGTGGTGGAGAAGAAAAATTACAATGGTGTTTTTATTATTGCCTGTTTTGGTTACTTTAATTTAGGTTGCATTAAGGTTGGGGGAGGGAAAATCTGCGGTAACCGGCATTGGCTTTAAGTTGCCCAATTTTGGTCTAGCGAGTTATACTGTTTTTTTATAGGTGGTTAGCTCTCAGTCTCGGCCACAAGCGGATGGTTATTTGTGGTTCTTTTCTAGTGTTGTACCCTTGTTGAATGCTATTTTTATGAATTAAGCCTTCTTCGAGCAAAAAAACCGATTTTTCTGGCCTTTGTACTATAAAATATAGGATACGGGTTAGATGACGGAAACGGGAAACATGTGGGTTAGATGACCTTTAATCAAAAGGCACAAACTCAAATAATCTGCAAATGTTTATAGTACAAGGGAGATATTAGATAAATAAAAGTGCACTCATAAGAGTTAAAAAAGATTGATAATGTTTTAAATTTTGTGCACATTTAAATTTATGACATACTATTATCCACTTTTGTAGTCTGTATGTACACTTTTTGCATATTTTGGTACACTTTTCGTATAATATTTTTATTAAAAGTTCTTCCTAATTACCAAAATGCCACCACGTTTTTTTACTTAAAATTTGCTCTTTTCCATCCATTTTTTCATATCAATGGCCAAGATTAATTCTTATTTTTCTCCTAGGAAGTTCTTTTGATTTGATCCATACTATATATATATACATGACCGTCTTTTAGGAGGTGCAATAGGTGCTTCGCACTGGGGTCTACTCTTGTAGAGGGCCTCCAGAAATTGAGAGGGTAGTATTAGTTGAAGGTTGATTTTTCTAAGATGTCATGTATTATTCAAGATTCCAGAAGGCATGTAACCTTTAAATTCTCTAATATATGCACTTTAAACGTCATAAAATTTATATTTCATTGAATTGTCTAAACTATTTGTATTTCATTGTCAAAATTTTTATTTTTTCTTGTCTTAGGGACCTCAATTTGTCATTTGGAACCGGGGCCTCCAAATTCATTAGACGGCCCTGTATATATATATATATATATATATATATATATATATATATATATATATATATATATATATATATATATATATATATATATATATATATATATATAATAGAGATCAAATACAAACCATGCTTAATTTACAAAGTACAAACTTATCTTGGTCATCCGATGAGTTGATCTAAAGGATATAAAGGCAAGGTGGCATTTTTGTAATAAAACCTAACTTTTCTAGGATGCAACTCATTGAACGTTAATGTGCAACTGCTATTTTATGAGTATATAATATGCAACACTTTGAACCTCAATATGCAATGCAAATAACGTGAAGGTGCATCGTACAAAAATTTGCACAATAAGCACACTTTGTACTTGATCTTTTCCCTATATATATATAGTGATACATCTATGTGTTGTTGTTTCGTTTCATTTTGTTGTATGGTATGTGTTGCTTTTTGTTGTAGGATGTTTTTTGTTGTGATGTGTTACTTAATGTTATTTATTATAGTTGATTTTAATTTTTAATTTTTATTTGTATTTCTACTCACCGTACCTCTGGGGCTTCTTTGTAATAAAGAGTAATGTATAGATTTGTATACAATCACCTAAAGTAATAAATTTGGATGTATGAATACCAACTATAACAGAACAAGAAACCTGAAGAAACAATAAAAATCAAAATTTCAAAGTTATAAACAAAAATAAATACAAGAAACAATATGAAACAAAAATTTAAAATCAAAATGATCACAATAATTATTAGATTCTGTAACCATTTTAAAAGTATTGAGTTACAAAAGTCACATTCTTTTACCTTTCTCAAAATTTTCGGCATAATTATTTCACATTTTATTTTCATTTTTAGCCTTTTTATTTTTGAGTTCTTAGTTTTACACATTTATATTTTTTTATTTTCTATTTCTTTATTTTATTGAGGTTTTCAAATTTATATATTCATTAAAATTTCTTAAATTTTTAGTTTTAATATATTTTGGCTTTTAAAAAAAATACTTTTTTCATAAAAATCTTTAAATGCTTTGCATATTTTTAATTAATAGTTTCAGAAAACTTTTGTCTTATTTTACGTATTTTGTCTATATTTTTTAGGTTTTCATAATTTCAATTTTTCACACACTTTATAGTTACATTAATGTTTCTTATTTTTAAATTTGTATGCATTATATATTCTATTTTTATTTTACTTGAACGGTTAATATCATTTTTTCAAATGTTTTCAAATTTGAAAGGTTTGTAATTACTATTTCATATTTTCCAATATAAAAAATTTACTCTTTCATAAAAAATTCTAATTACTTTTCACAGTTTAACTAGTCTTGGATTTTTTTAATCTTATTTTACATTTTCATAGTTTTGTCTAAATTTTAGTTTTTTACTTTGAGTTTTTTTCTTTAGTTTGTCATTATCTTTAAGAATTTAATTATTGTCCCAGTGATTTACATCGTCTTGATGTTTTAACAAATATTTACATTCGTTTTTTTTAATGAATTCGGCTTTATTAATAACCAATAATTTTCAGAGTATGGGTCAAAAGACAGAAAGAAATCCGACAATCGTTATCCCTCGAACCAGACTCGGAATTAATCGCCGCAACAATAAAATTCGATGATCCATAATTGGGAAACAAACAGCCAGAACTGGTCACCCTATTCCTCTCAATCCCCATATCCAAAATCAACGTCTTACAAACAAGAACAATAAGAAAAAGCAAATAACAAAACAGGCATAAAAATTACTGGAAAAACAAACGAGACAAATAAAATAACTCTTCTTCAAAAACCTAGATTTGCTTGCCTTCCATGGAGGCGGCTCGAGAGGGGGACGTGTCCGTCGCTCATCCACCCTAACCTCAACATCAGCTTCATCTAGATCCAGTTCTTCTTCCTCTGCCCCATTCGCCATCCTCTTGTATTTGTCCACGAAGCTATCCATGCAAAGTTGTTTCTCTAACCTTCCGCCAGAAACTCCGACCTTGCTCATTGTCGAGACCGAACACCTCGGATACAATTAAAGCAATCAACGAATGTCTTGCTCAAATCAACCAAGGGCAGATCCCAAAACGATTAGGTCGATGACCCCAATCCCAAAGAAGAAACAAAAACACGATCTGCTATGCCGAGATCAGCAACTAACAGACGAAAAACCCAAACTCGCCCACGACTGAACGATCGTGGCCGGACAAACGCCCCTAGGCAACCAAACCCCTAGGAGGCGGCGCTCTAGAGCTCTCGAAGAGCATATTTACATTCGTTAAAAAACAAATATTTACATTTTTTCTATTTAAAAAACATAAAATGAATATGTAATATCTAGACTTGTATAATGTATTATGTACTCCCTCCGTATTTATTTGTTCTCTACAATAGCTTTTGGCACAATGTTTTAGGAGAAAATAGTAGGGGTAATGAATAGTGTAGAAAAAATAAGAGAGAATGTGGAAAAGTAGGAAAGAGAAGATAAAAAGTAAAAAAAGTAAGCGTATTAGTCTGCACAGATAGTACTTTAGATTAAAAAAACTTACCAAAAAGGAAAAATGTAGCAAACTTTTAAATGCATCTCAAATAGGAAAGTGTACCAAACTTCTAAATCCGAGTATTAGTTCATGAACTAAATGAGTGGAGACACACACGTACATGCTCATCAATTAGGGAGCTGCTGCACAGAACTCAACCGCTTGTAGGTACGGAACTATGGTCTATTTGTGAAAGAAAAAAGTTAAGTAGTCTATCTTTTATAAAAGTTTTGGAGTGATAAAAGTGATATATCTCTCACTTTTATGCTTATTTGTGAAGATTTCCCTGAAAATAATGAGATATTTATTCCGGTTTACGATTTCCATTATTTTTCCAAAATCGGATTATGGAAACTAGTGCACACTCCTAAAGGAGATTGCATTAAGAGGTTGAATTTTTCACTTATTTGCCCGGAAAGAAGATTAGTTATCTACTACGTATTTCATATGACAATTTACAATCAATACTTCAAAATTCAAATCAGACCAAACTGATTATCCCCCAACTTAAATTTACCAAAACTAACCCCGAAAAGTGGAACTGTTTACCAGCCTAGGCTATTAAGGTTCTAGAACTGATCCGAATAAAAAATGGACCAGCCACTTCATGTGCAACAGTGCAAGTGATGTTTCTTCGTGTAGACTTGTATCTTATTTAGGGTTGTAAGCCTCAAGGGTTAATTGAGATGAATACAAGTACAATATTATCGCTTTCTATCAATCAGATGCAACTCTCACTTTCTATCAATCAGATTGTTGTAATTATAGCTCAATTTAACCCTCCCGGGAAACTCTTTGACCGGTTTTGACTTTTGATGGACAATGATAGTGTGCATTATTGGGAAAATAATACAACAGGTCAGATACAAATCATACAATTATGCAAATTACAACTTAGGAATAGAGGATTTTGTCCAGTTTATTTGCACACGTAATATTAGAAAATATTGAGGGCCAGTCCATAAAAGACCATATATTGTTGTTTTAAACAAATTAGTATAGAAGCCAAATAAACATATACTCCGTATATAGAATCTGTATCATGAAAAGGTGGAAGTTGTAATATGCAGCAATAATAACATCCTAGCCAGGAACAAGTGAATATCTTGGAACCATTATTTGGATGCGACCTGCCCTCATTCTATGGTGATCTAGTCCCATTGAATGGCACGATGGAATGTCCAATCAGAGGCATTGATGGTGGTTTTTCCATCAGAAAGAACAAGATCATACTTTGAATCCTCTGAGAACTCAGTCGGCATGAACTTCCAGTGTAGGCTTGGACTCCACTCGGCTTCTTTCAGAGCCTTGAGTATCTCTTCAACCACTACTTTGCTTCCCTCTTCAGATAAGTGAATCCCATCCCTGGAAATTATAATCCAGAAAATGTTTCAGAAAAAAAAATGGGGAAACCATTTGATTTAGAACTGTAGATTTCAATTTTAGATATTTGTTCAAACTCATTGTATTTATATCAGAAATACCTGTAAATTTCATGAAAGTTTTAATCAAATTTGACATTCCATCATATTTTCCAAGATAAAAGCAAAACAAAACTTATCTTATTTATCCCTCCCCCCGCTTTCCTACCATTTTCAGCATTCCCAACAAACCCTAAAGACAGGGACTAAAAGAGAAGCCACATACTACACAGTCTATTACTCTCTTTTTGAAACTACGGCTGTTCGATTGAACACACATTTACTTGTCCATAATTATTGATATCATATAATCATGGCAAGCTAGAAAATTAAAACAGTACATCTAATTAGGTTACATTTGTCTTCATTGACCAAACTTGCTTGTATCTTTGTATCTATCTTTTTACAAAACCCATGCGATTAATAATTTCTTCTTCTCATATAAATTTTACCATTCTTATACTATTCATATTAAGTGGGTAGTAATTACTCTGCATTAAACAGGGGGGCATTGTCAAAGCCATTTTCTCAAATTGTGACATTTGGTCAAAGTGCCAGATGAGTAGGAATAAAGGAGTATTTAGGAACTGCCATTTAGGTCAAATTTCCGGTGAACCTCTTCCAGTGGAATCAACTCAACATCATAAAATCAAACATATAGACCAGCAAGAGCTAGAACTATGCAGCACGACTACGTTTCAAACATTCAATGTCAAATGAATGCTTAATTAGCACAGAGAATAAAATTTAGGAAGCAAATAACTTTAGAGTGCATTTGGGATGACTAGTTTTTAAGGAATAACTGTTTTAAGAAAGTATTTTGAAATTTTGAATTAGCAAAGGAGTGTTTGTCAAGGATTTTTTAAAAGGGCTTGTAATCCCAAAAGAAAAACGAGTTTTGTGATTGATTAAAAAATGTACTTTTAGTCCTCAAATGAAAATGAATTTCTTAAACAAGCACTATTACAAATCATTGCAAACAGGCTCTAAAGCATTAAGTCATTTAAAAATGTATTACAGAGCAACAACAATATCCCAGCCTTAGATAAAAATTAAGCTGGACTAAATTGAATGCAAGGATCTTTTTTGCCCTTTGATAAATCTAAACTTTGTCATCTCAGTTCTCTCCCGCCCCTTGCCATTTGGTAGGGTGGGGAGGAACATCAGTTACAATTCTTACCTAGCTTAGCTAGCTTAGATAGTTTTTGATACATTGTATTATGTTACTTTTGGTTGATTTTTAATATATACTTACCTTTCATCCAAAAAAGAAAAAACAAAAGAGCAGAAGATTACTTGGTACTTACGTAAAGCAAGCATTTTCCCAACCTTCACGTTTCTGAAACGATGAGAAAAGATCAATAACCATAACCCCCATCTCCTTGCAGAGATCTACACAGGCTTGTGAATATTTGCTACACAAATCATTGCTTCGCACTAGCTCACTGAAAATTGAACTGTTTGAAAGAGATAATTGATAATTGTTAAAAACGAAACCAGATTCTGAATAAGAGTATAAGAGAAAGTATCATTAACAAGAACTCGTGATTAAATAAGACTAGGGGCCCCAGTTGATATTACTGTTATAAATCATTACGCTGTGAATATCAAGTGTTGAACAGTGAATTAAAGGTGTGAGCTTTCCAGTAGGATAAAAGTCCATTTGGTAATTTATGATATTAAGTGCTGTAAATGTGGAAATGATTGGTATTGAGGAGCCATGAATTGATTTTTAATTAAATACTCTGTATAACTATTTATAATGTCAAAGCTGGCCATGTGATTTGAGAGCATCTTTTAACTAATGTAGCTTAAGTTGTTCCATAACTTTAGCTTTCAAGCTACAACAGTTTCCAATGTTACCTAACGAACATTTGGAGCAAAAAATCTCTGGCTTAAAAGGCAGAACAAAAAAGGTGGGCTTAGAGCATAGGTGAAGTGTAGTATGATCTGATCGGCAAGATCACCATACCTTGTATTCTCTTTCACTTTGGCTTCATTGACAGGTGGACAAGTGAGAAAGATTATTCGAATTTTGTCCGAAAGGCTCTGATTCAGATTAACAAAAACAGTCAATTTACAGTTTGTTTGCATGATCTGTCTACCAAGTGAAAAAATTAGATAATGGTGAATGTTTCCAAAAATTGTGATGTTAAAAAAACACATTATTGATTCCCCCCACAATAAGAGACCTTTATATGAAGTGCTACTTTTCTCATGTTCTCAATGTATTCTGGAAGCGGTACATGAGGACCAAGGCCAGATGAGTGAGGACCCATTGAGTCATTGCCACCGAAATAAACAATCACCAATGTTGGCTGAACTGCTGCATCCTGAAAGCAACAAAAACTTGTGAGTACCCACGTCATTTTCCTGAACAGTTGAAGTATGTCATCTCTTGATAATCCTTTTCAGGTGAGAATGTCAAATTTAACATAGTCTTATGGTAGTTTATAAGAGGCCTGTCCACTCGACGGTTTGGGCAAGCTTGGAGGTCAGGTTTTGAACAATGTATGCAGCCTTCATCTGTCCAATTCAACTGCAGCTGGACTGAGGGGGTATGTTGAGTACCCTACATCGACTATCTAGTAAATAATGCCCAACTTAACACCGTTACCCATGTCACTATTCTAAAGGGGTAAACTCGAGAAGAAAAATGTAGCCATCCAAGGATACTTAGGGCTTTTTCAGAAGAGAGATTCATGTAAATCAGCAGCAGGACACTACCTTAGGGAAAACTTGATCAAGAACTTGGATTGCCCGACGCGAATTCCAACCATAGTAACCTCGCAATATTATGTCTGCCTGCAAGATTTCATTTCAGAGAAGGTGAAGTTTCGAAATTGAATTCAAAGCATCCAAGGTAGTTCAGTTTATTGGCATACAACACCAAGTTAGAGCTATATACTGGAGTATATCTTTGCAATAAATAAACAAATAAAAAATAAAATCCAGCTCACACAAACATAGGTAAAAACATCTATCAAATAGTATCAAATAGTATCCTTCACACAAACTGAAGGATGTCAAAAAGTAGAAAGTTAACTAAAACTCTTTTAAAAATAAAATCATTTCCAGCAATTTTGGAAGTAGGGCCAGAGCATTTATTAATTCCCCTGTGTCTGTTTTATCATTTCTTCTTTCTAAAAAATTACTGTACAAACGAAAGTTTTTTAATAAATTGTCCTAAATAGGAGTAAAAAATGTGAAATTCCAAAATAGGAACAAAAAATGTGAAATTCCAAAATAGGAGCACTATGTTTTTATTCCAAAAATAAGAGTAATTAAGCTGACATGATCCGGAAAATACTGTCAATCATGTGATTAATAATGACATATTAAAGCCAGGTAATTTCTGATTCATTATTTTTACTCCTATTTCGAGGATTTTCCCATGTTTTTATGTTGATTATTATCATTTACAAACCTACAAAGATAACTTCAATTAGTATTCTCTTCTAGAGTTCTATTATATGCTAGTGAACACTATAATGCAGAAGTTGCATACCATAATTTAGGAGTTACAAATTATCCATTCAATAAGGATGTTTTAAATTGCAATGTTTTTTTTGGTAAAAAAAATTGCAACGTTATTAGTAAAACAGATATCTACCATACCACCTGTTCAGACCTAACTTAAAAAGACCTGAACAGAACATTTCCTTCCTATTAAATCAGCAAAAGTATGCAAAACTTGAGGATCATGAACTCGCAACCGCGTATAGTATCACATTCCTTCGAGAACTAGTTGAACACAAACACCAATACGGTCACATTTAATTGAAAACACATCAAACACATTCAAAAGGGAGATAGATATTGGGAGGTATATACCTTACGAGCGTAAACATCGGCGAGAATCGCACCCCAACCGCCATTGCTGTAGCTGAGCTGAACTATTGACGACCCAAACAGCACGAACTGCGGTCTCTGAGGTCCCACCATTTCTGCGCCTCCCAATAGACTGAGCTAAGAAACGAAATGGAAGCTTCGCGAATCGGCGGAATTGCCGCGCCAGCCGTGAGCGGTGGAGCGGTTAGTTTACTGGCGAGCAGAAAGTAGTTGGACTTTAGTTAAAGACTCCGGAAATTCGGTGCGAAGATAGCTTTTGGATCGGTGAGCAGTTGAGCTGCCATTTTGCAGTATTTAAAAGGCTTTGCATTAAATGTTTCCTAATTTTCACTCTCTAGGATTAATTGAATTGAGAAAGACAAATAAAGGTGGGAATAGACCAGGTCCAGATTCTCATTGAAGTTTGAGGAAGTTGGGGGGAGGGCATAAAAAGTGGTTGAATCATGTTTTTAACATCAACCTAAAGCTACCAACATGAGGACCTAGGATAGTCATTCCATTTTAAGTGGTTGAATCATGTTTTTAACATCATTCCGAAAGCCACTACCAATATTCTCCCTTTGACTTAAACATTTATTAAGAAAATGAAAATAAAATGAAAATGTATGATTGTGGTTTAGTAAGAAAAATCTAAATGGATGTTGACCAAACAAAACTTTTCAAAAATGATACGGAGTAAGCGGGAATTTTTTTTGAGACATATCAGAATGATAAGTGGGAAGAATTTTATTGGACAGGGGGAGTATATTTTTTGTCTGTGTAGTTTCCAATCTCTTCTAACCTTGATATAATTACATACGTATTACTACGTCCCCTATAGTTAATAATTGTCCCATGTTTTCCATTTTTGGATGTCCCCCTGGTATTATTCTATGTCATACGGAGTATTTGATAACATTTGTGTGATCCTAATTCATTCTTATTTTATTCTCATTTTATCAACTCATTATCAATCACATAATTCTACTTTTCTTAAAAATCATATCACTCCCTTCTAGGGGTGGAGACAAGGAGCCGGCGGTGGCCTTGACCCCTGCAAGAAAAAAATTGTGATGTATATATGTATAAATATTTATAAGTAGTAAAAAATATAGTGAAAATTTATGTTTTGGCCTCTGCTATATAAATTCCTTAAGCCCCGACCCCGGTAACATGTCAATCCTGGCTCCATCACTGCTCCCTTCTGTCTCAATATTAGGGTGATGGAGGTAGTATGTATTTAACGAGCAAATACTCCATATTTGGGTTAGAACAATCAATTTAAAGTAGTTCAGGTCGTTTCTAAATGCCTGACCAAGCACCAATTTATGATTGCCAATTTATGATACAGATTAACCAGACATCAATAAGAAATTTCTTTAGCCATTTAACTTTCCTTAGGATCATATTAGTGTTTGAATGCAACAACCACATGTTTAAAGGCAGCGATAATTTATGATAACAATTTTGTTGTAAGGCACTAAGGCTAATAACTTATACAGTTATACTATGGTTTTTGGATAGCTTAATTGTATCGTAGCATAGTATAAATTATTAAACGTAATAACAGCTAATGTGCTTTAACGTATATGTGTATTTTTAAGCTCTTTGGTTTGTTTTGCGTTGTATACCTCGAATACAAGCATGGTCTTTCATTATCGTTCATCCATAGAGAATCTTCAATGTTATTCTTTTGAAAGAAAGTAAATTTTGCCAAATGTCACTTAAATAAAGTAGTATTTATCCACATAAGATACACATTAAAAGAAATAAATAAGATGTGCCCAATGCATGATGTTAACATACGGAGTATTAAATACGTAGTATAATTATATACTTCGTATTTGTCATTTAATATTAAAACACTCGACTACATCTAAATTCTTGTTGCCAAAAAACCCTATATAAACGAACTATAGAATCCTGTGGAGTCATATCATACTTCATGCCATCCATGGCAGAAGTTCACCGAAAGAAAAAATAAATTGGAGGAGTTTTTAGGTTTCAGTATTTAATTTGTCCTTTTTTAATGTTTCTTCAGCTCTTCTACGATTGTACCATGAAGTCACCTCTGCATAATTAATTTTGATTAATATAGGAAACAAGTAGCAAATATAAAAAGGACCCGTCACTACTAGAACTCGCACCGGAAGATAGTTTGAGTTTGTGGGTGAGGAGGTAAATTATTTGCCAGAAATAGAGATAGTGCATCTTTTATTTTTGCGGAATTCCGGGAATTGTGGGAGAATGCCTCCTCCACAGCATTAAACTTGCTTTCTGAATATCAACAGAGGAGATGAAAGTGTTGAGTCCATGTCAGATTCAATGGGCTCGTGAAAGAATGGGTTGGGGTCTTGGGGACTAAAAATTCATCACACTTTGTAAATTAATGATGTGGCAAATTTATTTAATGTCAAAAGAGGTGCATTGGAGATGGTCTTAGGGGTTATTTTTAAATAGGTGGAGTTTATGGTACCCAAAAGGTACCATACCTTTGTCTACATGTCCCAATCAGAATGTTGCAGTGGAATTATTTAAATCTAAATTAAAAATGATATACCTATTTGGACCAATCAAATGAATGATAGATACGGTACCCCATGTGTGCCAGCAAAGTCATCTCTACTTAACTCAGACAAGGTCATCCGTATAAGCCGTATTATACATTTACATATTTTATTTTAATATTTTATTTTTTTCCACTCTTCCTCACCAATAAATTTCTCTTTGTGTGCTGAAAAAAGGTATATGAATATTTGTAGTATAGTTTTACGAAGTATATGTATATTTAATTATTTATATATTGAGCGACACAGAGCAACACAGGCAGCGACGGACGCAGGAATTTCCGGTAGCAGGGACGGCAGTACAAAAATATACATACAAATACATGTACATTTAAAATTTTGGGGTAAATATACTTGGATTTTTTTTGGAGGGGCAGCAGCCCCCCTTTTTCACCCCTGTGTCAGCCACTGAACATAGGTCCTTACTAATACTAGCCAGCTCCCATCTTATTGTGTGCATAGGACAGGGCGGACCTCCCCATTTGCATGATAGAGAAAGGCAGACATGTCCCAAACGTCTCAGGCTAGCTAGTGGTGGCGGGACAGTTCGCTGGTGACAGGACAGTCCGGTGGTGGTGGCGGCGACTAGCGGCGGGGCAAAAGATCTGGAATTTTTTTGGCCCAGTCATAGCTCCGGCGGCGGTGGCAGCGGTCAGAAACTGGGCAGCGGTGGAGCTCTAGCGGCAAACGGCCGGTGGTGGCCAGAGCCTGGCTGTGGTAGGTGGCAAGGGCATTTTTGTCCAATCACAAAAAATAACACCTATTTTGACAATTTTAAAAGTACTACTCCTACTTGTGAAGTTTTATTCTCTTTTAGTCCTATTTAGATAAATCAAGCATTTCAGCCCAGCTAATTGTGAGGTTATCATGTCTAGTGGGGGGTCTCGAGTTCAAAATCTGTTAGGCACATAAGGGTTCGAAACACAAAGGATTTAGTTTCAGCCTAGATTACTCCAGGGCTCCCCCAGACCCCCTCCCTCAGACCCCCTGGAGTAAAAGAAAAAAGAAAAAAGTCCTATTTAGTAATTTACTCAAACAAACATATGCAAAATGGTCCCTCCTACACATCATCTATTTACAAATATTTGAGTTCACACACTAGTAAAGATTACTAGTTCTGAAATCACGTGTATCTTTGTATCAAATGTTTTTTTCACACAGTTTGTTTTAATATTTCTTAGCATCCCTAAATATGGACTACATTATATGAAGTATTAACTAATAATAACACATTTTCATTCAATTATATACTCATCAATATAGTATTGGACATTTAACTGTCGCGCATCGTGCAATGCATTATACTGCAATCGTGTCTTTGTGTGCATAACAAAATCCACATAAAGTATAAAAAGTCTCATTTTAATCTACTATATTTATGTTAATCGTATATTTATCATCATAAATTATATGAAAAAATTGTTACGTTAAAATATTCATTTTCACCAAATTCAACCAACTCATCAACAAAATACATCCTTACATATATTTTGATTACTACACAACCAAATTATATATTTTTTTTAATTATTACACAACTCAACGCCGCATACACGTTTGGTATAAAAGTGACTGATAACTGATAAGGCTGATAAGGCACGTTTGGTATAAAAGTGACTGATAACTGATAAGGCTGATAAGGCGAAAAAAGTTATTGAATAGGCTCTGATTGTTTTGTTAACTTAAATTAACCGTATTTAAACATGTTTTAAATGTGTATTTTTTTTACTATTGTTTGTATTAAGGGAAACACAAATTTGATAGATACGGAGCAAGGACTAAATGATTATAGGATTAAACTTTGTAGTATGAGTCTGATTTGTACTATATTGATATACTAAGCTGCATTGACTACAATATTTAATTAGCATCTTTTATATATGGTTGGAAATCAATATATCCCATAAGTCAATTTAACTATGTAGTAAAATTCCTAGATACTTATATCTCCTTACAAATTTTTTATGTTTTCATTACATTACATAAATAAATGAGTGAAATGCACAAATGATCCTTAAATTATTATCACCATATCATTTGGGGAAAATAATTTAAATACTCCAAACTTTAATGGGATGTGAGATGAAGACTCCAAACTTGCATATTTAATATACACCGAATTTTATGTGAAAAGTTATTTTTGCACCATGATTGAATGTTATTTTACAAATGCAAATTTATTGGAACAATATCATAATTTAAAATATTCTAAGCTTTGTTAGAACATGTTTAACATTCTAAAGTTTCATTTGTGAAATAAATAATATTACATTCGATACAATTTCATTTCAACTACATCCTCATAAATGTTTTGTGTATTTTAATTATTACGTACTTAACAAAATAAAATTACATTCATATGAAAAATATATGATCAAGGTGCTAACATTTATTTTTTATATAAAATTTGGAGTATATATATATATATATACACTACGTAGTATTATATATGCAAGTTTGGGGTACTTATCTCACACTCCTACAAAGTTTGGGATATTTAAATTATTTTCCTCTGATTTGTTCCTTGAACTATTAAATCAACCATTACAATCTTCTAATTAATCTTTATAGATATTGCTCATTAAAATAGGAACTTATATAAGTGTTGAATAAGGACAGTAAACTAAAAACTTTAGAGATATAGTGATAAGAGACAGTAAAAAGTGTTGAATAATTAAATGCATATATAAATGAATCAGTAAGTAAATAAATACAAATGAATTAATTAATGAATTAATTAATTAATTAATTAATAATTAACTAAATTAAATAAATAAATAAGTAAGTAAATAATACAGGTTTTTTACATTAATAATTTTTACACTTTATTTACATTAATAATACAGATTTTTTATATATTTTTGTGAACTAGGGCATGGCATGACATTTACTTATTTGTATTTTATTAAGTTTTTATTAAATTTTTAATTAGGTATTATTTTTACTTCAATATCTCAAATATTTTTTTATATTTTATAATTATTTGAGGAATGAAGTAATATGTTGTTAAAGAAAATAGGTAATACATGAATTAAACTTGTACATTCTTAAACTTAATATACGTATACTTCAAATATTTCTAAGGGAGCGATTGTAACAAATGAATGCGTTAGTTTAGTGGGGATGTGTCATGTGTGTAGGGATGGACCCGGCTCGGCCCGCCCGGCCCGGGACCGGACGGGCCGCCACTGTGCGGGCCCGGGACCGGCCCGGCCCGCCACTGTGCGGGACCGAAACCGGCCCGGTTCTCGGGTCCGGGTCGGGCCTAGGCCCGGTGGGGGGGGCGGGTCCGGGCTCGGGCCTTGTATTTGGCGAACCAGCCCGGCCGGGTCGGGCCCGGGTCCGGGCCAAAAACTGTTTTTTTTTTCATTTTTTTGGGCTTTATTGAGTTGGGCTTGATGTTTAGGACCGATTTGGGGGGTTTAAGGGGTGGGGGGGTGAGGGGGGGGGGGGAAGAAGAAAAGGAAAAAAAAAACTAACCGGGTCGCCCGGCCCGGAACCGGTGGCCACCGGTTCGGGCTCAGGCCCAACAAAACAGACCTGAGGCCCGCCCGGGCCTAGGCCCGAACCGGGCCCGAACCGGTCCAGGGCCATCCCTACATGTGTGCGAGGGGTTCAATTATTGTTAGACCCATTTTTCCCATCAGTTTTAGGCTTTTAGCACACCTAAATTTGATTATATGGATTAACCCATTAATGATGTGAAATATTTGACGTGGCTATTGCACTAACAAAGCATAAGTGCACGTGGCTATTGTAGGGATGGACTCGGCTCGGGCCGGGTGGCCCGGTACTGTTTAGAACCAGCCCGGCCCGAGAAATCGGTTCCGATTCGGGCTTAGGCCCGAGGGGTTAAGCGGTTCCGGGCCCGGGTCATGCAAAAGGCGAACCGGCCCGGCCAGGTCAAACCCGGTTCGGGCCTTTTTTATTTTTATTATTTTTGTTTTTTTTTTTTTGGGTTTGGGCTGGGTTTAGTTGGGCTGGGCTGAGTGTTTCCGAGGGGTTTGGGGGTGGGGGGGAGTGGAGGATGAAATAAATAAAAAATCAAAAACAAAAAACAAAAGAATTGAACTGGAACCAGCCCGGAACCGCCGCCTACCCGGGCCGGTTCCGGTTCCCCCTTTCCAAAAAAAAAGGCCCGACCCGGGTCCACCCCTAGGCTATTGTGGTGATATGGCGAATGAAATATCCCCATTTGGGAAAAACTCTTTAAATACATTGGAAAGGATTGAAATTATATTGATGAATTAACACGGTACACCCTTCACATCTCAATGCTCAAGTATAATATATTCCAATCATTATTATCCTTCGATAAACTCTATTTAGGAAATTAAAAAGCTCTCGAATTAGTCACTTGTGAGCTCACAATGCAATCAAATGCTCGTCTCCGGCATTGTTTTTTTGGTACAGCAGGAGAATAATATATATTGTATGAAGGAGCCAACGCAATCAACTAGATGCGCCTTTCGTGCATCAAATTGGTAAAGAATTGCCATATTCTAAAATCACTTCAAAATAATAATCAAGACTTTAGAATGGTCTAGTTTTTGAAGGACCATCCTCTTTGCCTTATGTGGCACCTTTCGACTTGCACTTAACTGTTGGGATCCATACTTGGGAAAATTCAAAAAATGAGTCCTGTCAAGTAGGCGTATAATCAGATCGTAATACCTTATGCTGTCTTCTCCATAGAAAGAAAGACTCTTCAAGGAATTCGTTCTTGAGGCGGGGTTAGTGATATCAGACTGCCAATAACTTCCGAAGCTGCATAAGCCAAACAGCTAGTTGCATTCCATAAAGACGGGCTTCTAGCAAAAGCTTCTGGAACCGGAAGTTGATCCGGGATAATAGCGAACTCTTCTCCAATGTTGATTCCAGAACTGCCTCGGATGAAACTTTTCCAATAATTAAAAAGGTCTCCAGAGAGGAACCTAGGGTCTGTGACAAAGCATAACAAACACCACTCCTATTATGTCACATATATACTTTATACTAAGTACATAAGAACTTATTTATATGCTTTCAATAATAACAGGACGCTTAACAATACAGATAGAACTAAGGAGGAACATTTGGCCAAAAAATCAATAGTAATTTGGGGTTGAATTATGTTTTTAGTCCCTGTAATCGGTGTAGAACCTTTTTGTTTCGGTTTTGATCATGCTGTTAGTTTTTTCATTTCCGCAAAATGCTGATGTGGTAATCACATGTCAAAGATCAAATAAAAAAGCTATTTTACAGGAATTATCTTGCAAAAAAGTAATGTACAAGGAACAAGTTAAAAACAAGTTTAGATTACTAGGACCAAAAACATAATCAAAACTTTAGAAGTGATAAAGGGAAACATTAATGAAAACATAATTAGATGGTATTTGGATTGAATTTCAATCACAAGGTATCAAGTTCTTATTTACCTTGCCGTATTCACAGCAAAACAAAATGTTTTTAAAAAAATCAACAGAACATATCTAGCCAAATCATACCAAGGCCCTGTTAACAGCTCGTAGACAGTCATTTGTCTTCAGCATTAAAAGAATAACACGAGGCAATCTCCTAAGTAGCTCAGTGATTTGAGGGAAGTGTGATGAAGCATGCATCTGTGAAACATCAAAAAACGTTAATGATCTACCTGAAGTTGCACTCTTTTAAATGTTGATTACTCAATTTTACATATTCTTTAATTAATTGAGAATCCCAAACTTCAATTAAAATCACATTTCACCTCAACTACATTACTCATTAAGGCCACGTTTCAAAAAGTTTTTTGGAGGGGAATGGAAGAGATGAGTTATTTTACATCTTAAGAAGGTTCCAACAGAAAGTGCATTGAGCATAAAAAATTGCCACTAAAGTTTAAAGCCACCAACCCCAACTACTTGGATTACGATAATGAATATGATGACGACAATGTGATGATTATGAAAATAGTGCTTTACTTTTTAAATATGAACTCAATGTCCTAGCTTTGAATATTTTTATTACCCAATAATTCGCTTAATTTAAAAATAATAACTTACCCCTTCCCTCCAATACCCAACTCCCAAACATACCCAAAGGCTGTTGACAAATTATTCTTGCCATATAAATGGTAACAATGTGTTTCCCTGAAAAGAATTTGACCTGAATTTCCGAACGCTCATTGTCTGATCCTTCGATAACCAAATGATCAACGGATGTGTCGACTACTTTATTCCATGGTCTCATTGTAAGAATCCCAGCAAACAACGCATACAGATCGTCACCAGCACCCAGTTTTGCACTGTTTTCCCTAATACCTTTGGCATCAGAGTTTATTAATGCCTATATTAAATAATAATAAAATTGGTAAGAACCATGATAAGTTGAGAGTTATCTAATTTATTAATTACAGATAACGTCAGTTCTATTGGGCACCATAATTCACCTTCCAGAGTGCAGCATAGTTCATTCTTGTAGAGTTATCGAGTTCTTTGTATAAGCCATGATCTAGAAGTATCAATTGTGGCTTTCTCTTCCCTATTTGAAAATGAAAGGATATCAGAGTGCAGCAGAAAAAGAATAGTTCCAAGTAGAAAAGTTTAGCTACCAAATTACTTTTATTACAGAAAATTTTAATTTTACTATAGATTCTAACTAAACAAAAGTTTAGTTTTTATTACAGAAAAACTGTTTGTTCTTCTTTGTTATGAAGGAGCAGTCAGTCCATGCAATTTTGGACGCGATTTTCATTATGGGTCATCCGGAAACAGTCTCTCTGTGCTTTAGTACAGGGGTAAGACTGCGTACATCCGACCCCCCTTATCCCACCGTAGGTGGGAGCCTTTGCATCACTGGGGTAAATGATGATTGATATTGATATTGATTGATATTCCAATAAAGTGTCAACCATCGATTGTTGGCACTAGATGTTGTGAACAGAAAAATAAAAACAACAGGGTAAACCGTTGACCGGATAATCAATGATGAAAATACCATTGCCTGGAGCCAAAAGGCTAAAACCAATTTTATTCCAAGATGATCCACAATGAATCCTAACAAGGGGTTTAAATACTCATCTACTAATTCTCAAACTAGGAAACAAAATCTTAGAAACCATAATTAACTCCAACTAGGAAACAGAATAATAAAGATCCTAATCAACTTCAAATAGGAAACAAATAATAGAAATCCTAATCAACTCCTAATAGGAAACAAATATTAGAAATTCTAATTAACTCCAAATAGGAAACAAATCAGGAAAATTGAAAAAGAATAAATATTAATTAAACATCCCGCAACCAGCCCACGTAGGCGGGCTCAAACCCGTCCCCGCCTTCGGTAAACCCACGGAGGCTTCTGCCCCTCTTCTTCCAAGCCCAGACTCTGCTTCATATCACTGCTTCATATCACTGGAGTTAGGGTCAGTTGTTAATTACATCCCACAAATTACATTTGTTGTGCAAAAACATCTCATTTAACTCTTGCTTGATACCATAAGTAATACCTCAAGTTTTCTATATCCATCTGAATATCATCTAGCACTTGTATGGTATTACCTTGCAAAACCGGCACCAATAATTTCTAAAATATTATTATTTATCCTTTTGTTTTATGCACCTAAGCAGCACATATCTATCCAAGGTATATATAATGAAAATTATCAACCAAAACGACAAGGGAAGACTTTCTCCTTGTGCCCCTTATGGTGGCACACTTCTCAGACCCTCACCTTACGGGACGTCAATGTGCACCGGGCTTCCCTTGGTGTCTACATACGGTATTCTATAAGACTATAATGAAATTAACTACTATAACAACAACAACATCAAAGTCTTGGTCTCAAAAGAGTTTACGGTCGGCTAACATGAATTGACATGTGAAATCGGAGCTAAAAAGATAAAATGAGATCAAACTTCCACACGACCACACATATATTCTTCCTCCACTTCACTCTCTCCAGAGTCATACTCTCATCCACCCAAGAAGTGTCATATCATTTCTGATCGCTCGTTTGCGTCTTACTCTTCTTCTCCTCACCGACTCCTATGAAGCACGGAAATTCTCGGAAAAGAGTATGTTTCTATTTCGGAAACTCTACGCCAACTCTTTATAAACTCTCCAAACAGTTGTTCTTCGAGCAACACATGACGTTTCCCATTTCCCATTTCCTCAAGACTTTCACGTTTCTGTGCAAACATAGCCCGACTCTTCTCTCCACCTCTCTCTCAACTTGTCTAACAGGTGCATCACTCGTTCTTCTACGCAATTGGCTAAATTGCCGTAATCGAGACTCCTGCATCTTATCTTAAAAAGGTGATACTACCATTTTTTGTCCGATTTTCTCATTCCTCAAACGATTTTTCTGGTATGTCCACACATCCAGCGCAGCATGTGCATTTCCGTCACGCTCATCTTTTGAATGTGACATTATTTCACTGTCCAACACTCTACGCTTTATAATAACGAAGGCCTAACTGTTGTCCAATAAAACATACCCTTTAAACTAGTCACCATACCTTGATCATACACCCTCATACACTCTTCCAATTCATTCACCCAATTCAAATTCTATGAAAATAACCAATCAAATATGAAACAAAAACATTACCCTTGTTCGCAAAGGCTTCCACCAATGTGAGATAAAGGGGTTGGATGTACGTGGCCTTACCCCTGTACTAAAGCACAGAGAGGCTTTTTCCGGGTGACTCATGATAAAAATCACGTCGAAAATTGCATGGACTAACTGTTGTTGCATAACAAAGATGCGCTGAATAGTTAAGTGAGCTATTTTGCTTTATTCCATCATGTAGGTTTTGGGAATAAAATTCCTTGAATAACAATGCCAATCGGCCAGGATATTTATACAAATGTACAAGCAACTAATCAGCTAATTTAGATCCTAAAAAATAGGATCTTGATTGCTACGTGATTATCTCTAATTTACAGCTAGTATTCTAATCCATTCGGCTAACTAAGTACACAAAATTAAATCATGTAACATTTTCTACAATAATGTAACATTTTCTACACTCCCCCTCAAGTTGGTGAATATATATCATACATTCCCAACTTGTTTATAAGCAGCTCGAACACAGGTTTAAATAACCCTTTGGTGAGGATGTCAGCTGTTTGGTCTTTGGTAGATACAAATGGTGTGCAAATAATTCCAGCCTCTATCTTCTCCTTAATGAAGTGTCTGTCCACTTCAATATGCTTAGTTCGATCATGTAGTACAGGATTATGAGCAATGCTTATAGCTGCTTTATTATCACAATACAATTTCATAGGCAGTTCCATCTCCATCTTCAGTTCTGCCATTACTCTCTTGATCCAGAGTAATTCACATATTCCATTAGCCATAGATCTGAATTCTGATTCTGCACTACTTCTAGCAACCACATTTTGTTTCTTACTTCTCCAAGTTACTAAGTTTCCCCATACATAGGTACAATACCCAGAAGTAGACCTCCTGTCAGATATGGAGCCAGCATAATCTGCATCAGTATAGGCTTCAATTGTTCTACTGATTCCCTTTTTGAAAAATAATCCTTTCCCTGGGCAGCTCTTCAGGTACCTTAGAATTCTGTAAGTAGCATCAAGATGTTCCTGGAAAGGATTATGCATAAACTGGCTCACCATGCTTACTGCAAATGCAATATCTGGCCTTGTATGTGCCAGATATATTAGCCTTCCCACTAATCTTTGATATTGGTGAATATCAACTGGGATTCCCTCTTTGATATCTCCCAACTTCTGACCTGGATCAATTGGAGTGTCTGCTGGTTTGCATGCACTCATCCCAGTTTCCTGCAGAAGATCTAAAATATACTTCCTTTGTGAGACAACAATACCCTTTTTTGATCTAGCTATCTCCATTCCCAGAAAGTATTTTAAATCTCCTAGGTCTTTTACTTCAAATTCATGGGCAAGCTTTTCTTTTAAATTCTTAGTCTCTGTATGATAATTTCCAGTGAGGATAATATCATCTACATAGACTATCAGTATTGCAATCTCCCCCTTGCCTGAAAACTTCATGAATAATGTATGATCAGATTGAGCCTGATTGAATCCTTGTTTCTTAACAAATTTTGTGAATCTGTCAAACCAGGCTCTTGGAGACTGTTTAAGTCCATATAGAGCTTTCTGTAATTTGCATACCTTTGCACCATACTTATTCTCAAATCCAGGAGGAGGTTTCATATACACTTCTTCTTCAAGCTTTCCATTTAAAAAAGCATTCTTTACATCCAACTGTTGCAGTGGCCAGTCTAGATTAGCAGCAAGAGATAAGAGAATTCTTACAGTGTTCAACTTTGCAACTGGTGCAAAGGTTTCCGTGTAGTCAATGCCATAGGTCTGTGTGTACCCCTTAGCAACTAACCTCGCCTTATACCTCTCCAGACTTCCATCTGCTTTGACCTTAGGAGTGAAAATCCACCTGCAACCAACAGTTGGTTTGTTTTTAGGTAACTCTACAAGTTTCCATGTCTGATTCTTTTCAAGAGCCTCCATCTCCTCCAAAACAGCTTTCTTCCACTCAGGTTTAGATAGAGCATCCTGTATAGTTGAAGGAATAGAAATAGAAGAAACACTAGAAGTAAAGGTTGCAAAGGATGAGGATAATTTAGAATAAGAGACATGGTTTGAGATAGGGTATTTAACACATGTTCTTCTTTCTTTTCTGAGGGCAATTGGGAGGTCAAGTTGACTAGAAGTATTACCTTTTTCACTCCTTGTCATTGAGTCAGAATCATGGACAGTGGCAGGTTCTTGGACTTCCTCTACTCTTTGATTTTGGACTCTTCTCTCATAAACTTTGCCAAAGAACTGACTTGTCTGTTGTTCTTTTTCAATTGGTTCAGGTGTATTTATTTCATTATTTGTTATTCCTTGATCATTTTCAGATGTAACATCATCTAGATTAATATCAAGAAAATTAAGGTTTTCATGGATATGTGGTAAAGTTTGAACATCTTCTCTTAAATTCTCCCCCTGAAGATGTGTATCAAAAAAAGGCTGTTCTTCCACAAAAAAAGTGTCAAGAGTAACAAACATTTTCCTGGTTATAGGATCAAAACATTTATACCCTTTTTGAGTGGAAGAAACACCTAGAAATACACACTTTGTTCCTCTGTGATCAAATTTACTTGCAGTTTTATCAGGGTTTTTTATAAACACTGTGCAACCAAAAATTTTTAGGGAAAGAGTATTAACCAGTCTAGTTGTAGGAAAGTAATGCTGCAATGAATTGATAGGACTTTTAAATCCTAAAACTTTTGATGGCATACGGTTAATTAAGTAAGTAGCATGTAATACAGCCTCTCCCCAAAGATATTTTGGTATGTTTGTAGAAAACATAAGTGCACGAGTGACTTCAAGTAAATGTTTGTTTTTTCTCTCTGCAATTCCATTCTGAGCTGGTGTATTGATACAAGAGCTTTGATGGATTATGCCCTTTTCAGCAAAAAAAGTGTTTAGGTTTTGAGAAAAATATTCACGGCCATTATCACTTCTTACCATTTTAATTTTGGTATTGAATTGAGTTTGGACCATGGCATAAAAATCCCTAAATACTTTTTCAACTTCAGATTTTTCTTTAAGCAAAAAAACCCAAGTGACCCGTGTATGATCATCAATAATAGTTACAAACCATCTCTTTCCCTTTAAAGTTGGTACTCTAGATGCCCCCCAAATGTCACTATGTACCAAAGTAAAAGGACTGGTAGGTTTATAACTGTGGGGAAGATAAGAGTTTTTATGATGTTTTGCAAGTGCACACATATCACAATGAAGCAAAGAAATATCTTTATTCAGAAACAATTGAGGAAACATCCTTTTTAGGTAATAGAAATTAGGGTGTCCTAGTCTATAGTGAAGCAAATACAACTCCTTATTATTTGAAAAAGAAACAGTTTGCAGACAAGCATTTCTTGGACCTCTTTTACTTGATTGAGTCCCTTCATCAAAGATATAGAGTCCATCTTGCTCCCTAGCACTGCCAATCCTCTTCCCCGATGCCAGGTCCTGAAAAATGCAATAAGAAGGATAAAAAATAACACAACATTGTAGATCTTTAGTTAGCTGACTAACAGAAGCAAGATTGCAGGAAAGATTAGGGACATGAAGGACTTTGGATAGATTAACAGAAGAGGAAATATTAATATTTCCCATCCCTGCAATGGCTGACAAAGAGCCATCTGCAACTTTAACCTTTTTGTCCCCTGCACAAGGTTTATATGAAGAAAAGAGGTTTGAAATAGAGGTCATATGGTCAGTAGCCCCTGAGTCAATGACCCAGGTGCTTTTAGGTTTCCCAGAACAAAAAAATGAATAGGTACCATTCTGGGCATAAGAACAAGAGGAGGATTCAGATGTAGGTTTGGAATTTTTTTGAGTATTCAGAAGGTTGAGAAGTTGCTCTATCTGTTCCCTTGTGAAGGAAGGCTGTGTGAAGTTGACTGGTGAATCTTGTTGAGTCTCATTCATAGTTGCTTGTAGAGCTTTTTTCTTTGCAGTTTCTGGTGGTTTCCCATGAAGTTTCCAGCAGGTATCTCTAGTGTGCCACAATTTTTTGCAGTAGTCACACCAAGGTTTTTTCTTGTCACCACCTCTGGCCACCATTGCTGATGAGTCTCCAGGTTCCTCATGAGTTATTGGAGTATTATACATCACCTTCTTCCTATTATCTTCCAGTCGGATCTCAGAAAACACTTCTCTGATTGATGCCAGAGGTTTTTTTCCAAGTATCCTTCCCTTAACTTCATCTAGGTCTCTATTTATGCCTGCTAAAAACATATAGACCCTGTCATTCTCTTCTCTTTTCCTATGCCTTGCCAGATCCTTGGCACTTTCCCATTCTTCAGCCTCATAACACTGATCTAATTCTTGCCATAGAGATACCATTTCATTATAGTATGAAATGATATCACTATTTCCTTGTTTAGATTGCCACAGTTTGGTTTTGAGTTCAAAGATCTGAGAAGAATTCTCAAGATCTGAGTAGGTTTCCTTAATAGAGTCCCATACCTCTTTTGCAGTCTTCATAAACATGTGAGGTTTGGCGATTGATGCATCCATTGAACTGAGAAGCCAGGCTGTCACTAGTGAGTTTTCTGACCTCCAGGTACTGTAGCCATCTTCACCAATTTTCTTCTCTTTGATTTCACCAGTTAGGTATCCCAGTTTGCCCTTGCCATCAATTGCTAACTTGACAGACTGTGACCACTCTAGGTAATTCCTTCCATTCAATCTATGCCCAGTGATGAGCATAGATGAATTAACCGAGGCCTGATAGTTTGCCATTGAGCTAATATGGGAGTTAGGGTTACTGGTTTGTGAATAAGGAGATGAGTCAGAGTGTTCGAATTCCACCATTTGAGATGTGTAAATTCAAGTCTCTGATACCATGTAGGTTTTGGGAATAAAATTCCTTGAATAACAATGCCAATCGGCCAGGATATTTATACAAATGTACAAGCAACTAATCAGCTAATTTAGATCCTAAAAAATAGGATCTTGATTGCTACGTGATTATCTCTAATTTACAGCTAGTATTCTAATCCATTCGGCTAACTAAGTACACAAAATTAAATCATGTAACATTTTCTACAATAATGTAACATTTTCTACACATCATATTCCCAAGCCAAAAAATAGTGAGTTTTTGACTCCATTGGAAATGATGGTAAATAACCAATCAAATATAATGGAAATAAATATGTTTCATTCCATTTTGAATGTACACAAATTGCATGATGGAAGTGTTAACTTTGTCAAATTTGAAAAGACGCAAGGATGCTACAACTATTTCAACTCATTGTTGCGTCTTAATATTTCATATATGTAAGCTTAGAAACCCCTATGATGATTATTGGTTTCATGATCTGAGAGGAGGCAATCCTATTGGATTCTGAAAGAGGTCGACAAAACGGCCAAAAGAGAGTGTTGATTCTATAAAGGTCCATGCTTGTGGATAAGGCCATGTCAAACGAGACATGGTGACTTGGCCATGTCATTCCTCTGGTTTGTTGGACCAACAAAACTTCATTGTGAGATGGGCAAAGTCCCCATTAATTGAAATCAAACTGCGGAGTCATTGGACTCCTAAAATGATGTCAAAGCTTGCTAATGATAACAAATAAGACATACCACTGGAATAAATTTTGGAAATCGGTATGCTTAACCGCACGTTCGTGAATGAAATTATGAGTGCTGCCAAAGACTACCAAGACAAAACCAGTCAGATCATGTAACGTTAAGGCCCTGTTGGTTTCAACTGTATAGATCATCTCGTCCCCTTGTCATCCAGGATTTCTAGTGTAAAAAGTTGCTTGCAATGGTGACCACAAATGTATTGCTCATCACAATGATACCACATACCTTTTGCTTGACCGCAGGGCGCTTCGGCTCTGGAAATCTGACAACGCAGAAGAGGAATCTGCTGTATTCACTCGACTGTCTGCGTTGGATCAGAATGTACGAGACTGGTTTGAAATGTTATGACCATAGCTGAGGTCCGACGACGGGAAGCAGTGACCCGATTTGATGTTTACGTTCAAATTGTCTAGCTAAGCTCATTGCAATGTCTAAGAGACTAAGACTCTAAGCTACAAAGATCTTGAAACTCATGTTCCAAACGGATTCCTGATATGGGACCATGAATTACGTTGACCTTGAATTGACTGGGTAACCCTTCAAATACCAATAGCTGCTGGAACAATGTGATGTACTCCTCCACCATTCCAATTTGTTTGAATTGAAAAAGATTTCCCGGTGGGTTGGAACTTAATGGAGGGCCGAAACAGAGAAGACAATTCTCTAAAACCGACTTCCAGAAGAAGTCTAATTGGAGTTTATCAGCCCAAAGTTAAGCATTGCTCGCCATGGTGAAGGTGGCCAAGCCCATGCGTGCGATTGGTGTCATTTGTGGGTTTGCGAAAAACTGCTCAAAACATTTCGACCAACTAAGAAGGTAGCACGTGCCGTCAAAATGGATGGAAAATCAACTTCCAAAAAGCGAGGAATGATGTTGAAATCACGGAGTCACGATTCTGGTTGTTGAGATGGGATCCTTACCTACTGTTTAAGATGGTGTGCTATTTTAACTTAAGGATATGCCGTTTTGATATCTGCAATGAAACTTTTGAAGGTTTTAGTGTTAAGAGAATAAGAGGTTTGTTGTCCATCGTCCTGGATGGTGATACCTGTTTGTTAAGGGCCTTGGTACAAGATCTAGTCCAAGGACGCTGAGGATGGAAAGAGGGATGTGAAGTTATTGTAATTGGAATAAATAAAAAAACACTTAACTTCCTGCCCTAGGCAATTGATCGATGGTTCCACTAACAGATCAAGAGATAAAATATTCCAAATCTAATTATTTATTCCAAGTGATAAGTTTTAGAGAAAATTGAATCTAATAATCCCACCTTTCACCCATCTTCTCAAAACGGTCCCACTTAGTGCTAATTTAAAAATTATCCAATCTTTATAATCCGTCTTCTTATATTGGACCATGGTAACCTGCTACCTATTAAGCAAGTCATATGCAATTGACCTGGTTTCATACTATCACCCAATATACAATGGAATAATCTGTTTATTATTACTATTCCATCCGTTCCATTTTATCTGTCTTACTTTCCCTTTTGGGTTGTCCCAAGATAAGTGTCATCGTTCCTCTTTTGGAAAGAAATATGTGGTGTACACATTTCACTTTATTATACTCAAACCTCAACCATAACTTTTACTTTTTCAACCACTTCATTAATAGTTGTGCCAAACCAAAACGAGACACATAAAATGAGATGGAGGTAGTATAATTGTTGTTGTTGTTGTTGTTGTTGTTGTTGTTATTATTATTATTATTATAGTTGTCGTTCAAATATCCCTACTTTCCTCCTCATCCTGCAAACCCCAAACCAGACCTGCATCAAATCACATGAATAAATTATTTCATCACCAGCTACACAGCCATGGGGAGGAGAGCTCCAGAAAAGGTTTGGCTCTTCAATTTCATGAATAAAAAAATTTCGCCCCCATTCTTGGAATTTCCATTCACGGTTTCAATTTTTTGGAGGGTTTCAGATTCAATGATGGAGGCCATTTTTTATATTGTCAAATTTGACATGAGCTTTATTTCTAAATATGTAAATGAATTCTCATTGTTTTTCTAAAAGAGGACTTTAAAGTGATGTTAAGCATTGCAGGGGACAATTAGGAGTTCTTAGGGATCTGTCCTTTGTGTTTCTAAAAATGTTCTTATGTATATGTTTATTTCTTACTGATGTGATATGGTGGGGGGCTTGTTTCTCTCCAAAAACTAAGAAGATTAAAAGATGAAGAGGGAACAAGGAAGCCCGAGAGGTAAGCGTAGAAGAAGAGAGAAGGGAAATGTAAGGAGAGAGAAAGTATTTTATACAGAAAACAAAAGGAAAAAAACTTACAACCTAACCAGTTACAAGCGATGTAGTACAGGTTTGGGACCAAAAACAGCAGATAGGAGGTTAAGATCAGATGTTTTGTGATCTTCATTACAAGGGATCGTTTTCAGAACCAATATTTCCTATGTTTTATATAGGAATAAGACAGTTACCTAAACAAGAATAAGAAAGAGTCTTAAGCTTTTACAGCTCAGGAATAAGAAATTGACAAAAATACGGGTTTGGTGTAGGTAAATAATACTACCTCCGTCCCATAATGTAAGATGCATCTGGGTTTGGTGTGGATTTTATGAAAATAAAGGACAAAGTGGTTGTTTCACAATTTTAACCTCCAAAAAATAAGAAAGAAAAAAAATGATTCCACAAAAAATAAAGGGTCAAATAATAGATAAAGAGATAAAGTGAGAAAGTAAAAAAAAAAAAGTGGAGTCCAATTTAAGAAAGTGTTCATATTTTTTACACACAAAAAAGGAAAGTGTATCTTACAAAATGGGATGGAGGGAGAAAAAAACTACTGGCAAAAGATAGCTAATTAAATAGAACAGCCAGGATAACTTGCAGACTGATTATTTAGACAAAACTAATAAAGTAGGAACAGACAGGATAGCTTGTAGAACAATTAGGCACTTTTCTGCATTGTTGGTACACACAGCTGAAATGGCCAGTATCATGCTTCCTAAGTTCACACATACTAGTTCAATTAAGTTGGGCTTTAAAAATATCAAGGAGGAAACTGCATTGGTTTCTATAAACTGATATGTCATGTTATAAAAAGGCGAAGGCAGACATAGTTATTTTAGATGTATGTATAGATTCAAAAATGGAAACGTGCTTACCGAAAAATGTTGTTGGGCCAGAAGGCATGGGGCGAACTAGCATGTTTGCAGCATGGGGATCACAGTGCACAAATCCGTGCTTGAACATCATTTCAGCAAAGACCTCACTAACCTGTGCACAGTAGAATAGGCGGTTATTATTTAACAGAGAGGTAGAAAAGTGTAATCATTTTAAAATGAAGATGTTTCAATAAAATATAATGAAGATAAAAGGGCAGTCCGGTGCACATAGGCGTCCCCGCAAGGCGAAGGTTTGGGGAAGGGTCCCACCACAAGGGTGTACATGAAGCAGGCCTTCCCTTTTCATTCTGACAAGACGCCGCTCCCAAGATTTGAACCCGTGACATACTGACATCTAGGTCATGCAGCAACACCACAATCGATGTACCAAGGCTCCGCTTCAAAATGTAATGAAGATAGCGATAGGGACCCACATAGAATAATAAGAAATAAAAAGAGTATTAGAGTTAGTATAAATATTAAATAGAGGTTGAGGGTAGAATAGAAAGGAGGTTGGAATTATCATTTGGGCTTGGGACTTCGAGAGTGGGCACTCTTAAACTGCCTTTGTATTTCTCTCTATATTTTCTGTTGTACGACACTTTCAGTTGATACGCCATCTCTTTTCTTCATCTTGTTTCTTGAATCACTGTGACTTAGCTAGTTACCTAACATTGGTATCAGAGCATCGTTCTGGCACCTGAACATGGTCATCAAAAGAGTAAACAGTAAAGATTTGGTATCGCCATGGAGGGAATGGATTATGAAATGATGGAAAGTAGTTGGGAAAGCGGGGAACGCGAACTGGAGAGGAGTCGCAAATAGAGAAAAGTAACGATGGACCCTAATTACCAAACGTTGGTATCGCTTATGGAGGAAAGTGAGTATGAAACGATGGAAAGTAGTTGGGAAATCTGGTAAAGCGAACTTGAGAGGAGTCGCGAAAAGAGATAGAGGGAGTTAGCGAAGTCACGCTAATTGATACAGCAGAACGATCGGCATAAACGAGGAAGATCAAGGACCATAAAGCGCTGCCGAAACTCCAAAAGCAAGAACAGTTCGCAAACCGCTCTTCAACCTTCGCAGAGTTCGTCGCTACTTGCTTCGCTGAGTTTGCAAGCTTCGTCTCAGGCGCCAACCGTTTCTACCAGTTCGCCGTTGCTAACAGAGCGTCATCAATCGTCATCTCAAGTTTCATCGCAGGTTTCCGAGTCGGATGAAGTTTCTACGCTGGGGATTTTATTGACGACACCAAATCTTGAGTGGAAGCCGGCTGAACCCTCAGTTCCTGAATCGGATTCAGACGAGGATACTAATCAGTCTACGGGATACTCACCAGAGGATATGGAAGAGTCCGAACCGCTAAAATCTAATATTCCTTACAGTCATGAAGGAAATCGTACCTACCACACTGATCCTGTCTTGGATCTGAACAACATTACCACAGGGGCTGATGAGGGGGACCTGTATCACCCACCTATCCTTACCTATGAGGGTCAGAGGTATGCCCTTGTACTGGAACGAAACCCGGAATATTTTAAATCTTTGTTGGGTGGAATTCAAGAACGTCAGTTGGGTGTTATAGGGAATATTGCGCACCTTTGTTCATCAAAGAGAATTTTGGAGAGGCTGAATAAAGTTTGATGGCTTCAGATTTGATGGTGATACTTCTGGGAAGTATGTCCAGAATGGGCTGGGGGTAGGAATGATTGGGAATTGGAAGGAAAAGGGTGATTATGCTACTGATGATAAGGCCGACTTGTTCCTGATGCTTAACAATGAGAACAATCATGCTATCTTCCAAGAGGCCTTGATAATTGGTGAAAAGATATTCAGGAAAATAGAGAAGGTTTGGGAATTGGGTGACCGAACCAAGCCATTAGGGGTGAAGGTGTTGTATTATTCCGGGGCAACATAACAAGGCAATTGAGGATGAAGTTAAGGGCTACAGTTTGATACATTCTGCCATTTGGGAATCCTTTAATTCTGGACTGAGATGGGCTGAGGAGTTTTCTCTTGAATACCAGTGGAGTAAAATCATTGTGGATCTGGACACTATTATTCAGGTTGCTGTAGTTGATGTCGCCCAGAGGGAAAACTCATGGATTTATCTGTAAAACCAGAAATTGTTAATGTAATAGAAGCTGAAGAAAATTTTCAACCTTATAAAATGGTCTTATGCTTCAATGATCCCGAAGTGAACTGTTCCAGTTGTGGAATTTTAATGGAATCCAAGCTAGTTGATGATGTTGGAAATATAGAAGTGGAGCCGTACTTGCTTGGAAAAATCTTTAAGGCTTCTTTCTCCTCACTTGAACTAAGAAAGTTGGATGCAGATCCAGTTAGGGAAGGCAAAGAGAATTCAAGAATGTTTCTCTCGGGGGCTGTTTGATACATTGTTCACGTGCATATCAGAATTGTTTGAAGCAAACAAGAGGAACAGTTTTCTCCTTGAAATCTATTTTGAGGCTAGAGATATTGAAGGTATAGAGCAGATCCACATGGCCTCTATCAGTTTTCAGAAATGGTGGGAGGCGTATGATTGTGGTTGCTACTCATTCAGGAAGAATCTATATTATAATGGAAGTTGTTTCTGATAGCATACAAAACTGCTCTCATCAAAAAGCTTCACCGGTTCTGCCTGCAATTATAGATGGCCTGGCCCATGAGAGTGGCTCTGTAAGGATTGTAGCACTTGGTGTTGGCCAGAGTTTAGTGAAGCATCATGTAACCATGCCCTTGCCTCAGCTGCTTCTTATGGAAAAAGAGACAGCAATGGTTCAGTTCATGAAGTTCAGGGTCCTGAAATTTGGAAGATACTGGAAAGGAAGAGGCGCAAAGATGAAGAAGAAGTTGTTTGTCAGGACTGTCTCCTACCACCCACCTTGAGGACAAGGTGGTTGTCAAAGGGGGAGTAATGATAGGGACCCACATAGAATAATAAGAAATAAAAAGAGTATTAGAGTTAGTATAAATAGAGGTTGAGGGTAGAATAGAAAGGAGGTTAAAATTATCATTTGGGCTTGGGACTTGGAGGGTGGGCACTCTTAAACTGCCTTTATATTTCTCTCTATATTTTCTATTGTACGACACTTTCAGTTGATACGCCATCTCTTTTCTTCATCTTGTTTCTTGAATTCACTGTGAATTAGCTAGTTACCTAACAGATAGTTAGCAAAAAAAAAAAGCAATCTAAGGAAATGTAAACCAGACCAAAACAAGCTTCAGAAAATTTTGGTCAAGGCATAGTGATACACAAGTACACAACCAAGTGAGTCATGGCACCCACTAATTTAAGTAATATAGACGAAGGTGATAACATCAGTACATTTAAAAGAAGAAGACCGATCAGTTTGGAATACATTTATCTAAGTCTTAATAATCACGTGAATAAGAAATAAGCTGTGAAACTTACTAATTTTGCCAGATCCGTTGGCTGAATGCCAAGAGACTGAATGGTCTTCACATCATTTACTTGTGCAGCATCCATAAATTCCATGGTTAACAACTTTGAGGTACTCAAATTCCAATATACCCTGGGGGCATAAACATAATTTGCAATATGAGGAGAAAGCTTCCGAAAGTTATCCATACATTTCACGCTGTTTTTAGCCTCAACAAGGAAATCTAGTTCCTGATAAACACCACTAAATATTGTCAACATTTCATCAAAAACTAAGGAATAGCAGTGCATGTAACAGAAGTAAAAATGCTTGCTTGTTTTGATGCTGATAAACGAAACAAAAACAATTAGAAAGCAGACTGTTAACCTTAGGTACACTTTCACGAATTTCATCAATCAACCACCTATACAAATCAGGAGAACTGGTCAGCAGTAGGTAGCACAAATAATAGATACATGAGAAAAGAGAGTCAGAGAGTGACATCATTAGCAGTCTCCTTGGCATACTCTGAAGCTAAACTTCCTTTAACTACTCCTGTCCTAAAAAAATTATTCACCTATTCCTTTTTTATACATCCCTAAATAATCTCCATGTTTTTGTTTTAAGGAAAGAATTGTGTGGTTCATAATTTCTTTCATTTGTGAGTAGATTTCAACCTACAATTTAATTTACTTAGCAACCGTGAAAGTCAAATGGGAAGAAAAATAAGGGATGGAGGGAGATCAATCTTTACAGTTTACACAAGGAAGAAGAATCTCCAAACCTGTAGTCAAAATCAGGAAAAAATCGGTGCAGCGTGTTCACAATTAACGACACGGTGGCATAATCAGCAGCGGCAGTATCTGTTATGTGCGTATGTTGAACCTGCAGTCATCAAACAAGAAAATCAAGATAAAAAGTTTGCTAGAACATTTGCTTATAAAACTATGCATACTGCAACTTTGTGAAACCTTTATGGCGACTTTTTCCCCATCATGTGTTCGAGCAACGTGGACTTGGGCAAGAGAAGCACTTGCAATTGGCACTGGATTAAACTCTTCAAATATCTACATTAGAAATTGTAAAAATAAGTGTTTATATGATAAAACAACAATTCAAGCAAGTAATATATAAGGAATATATTGACACTGTTTTTTGTATTAGTAATCATAGGCTCATAGCAGTTCACATAGCATTTAGGAGTTAGGAATATACTTCGTCTGGTCTTCCTCCAAGTTCTTTCTTGACAACTTCGCATACTTGATCATAAGATGATTGGGGGCATCTATTAAGCATGGATTCCCTCATTGTTCTAACATATTCATCAGGTACTAAGTACTCCTGAAAAAAATAGTTATAACTCAGATCAATTAACATAACAACTGTATTGGTTAATACATGCAATTGAATGTCAATTGAGATTCTGCTTATGTCACCATAAAATAAAGACAGGCGTGATCCAATCAACTATGCAATTACCTAAAAAAAAGGGGTATAAGTAGCATACCAACTGACCAAGATGTTGACCAATTTTTATATATATTCCACCATTTTTGAAACAAAGTTCTTCAAGTCTGCGTGCACCTCTCAGATGAACTTCATGCCTGACTTTTTGTCTTTCAGCACTACCTTCGGGTAGTCCCCAGAGCGAATACTCATAATCTGATATACACCATTACAGACCAAGACTTGACCTTTGAAATGAAACTTAACTCCAAAACTGTAATTGTACAATAATGATATAAAAATACAAGGAGGAGTTTATCCTTTTGAGGTTTATTCAGGCCAGGGTTTTGCTGAAAATTGCTGTATATTTCTAGAATCACATCTGTAAGCTTCTAGAAACACATGTCTTATAACTCACACAAAACAATTAGTTTAGTCCTTTCTTTTATTATATATAAGGACTGTATTAGTTAGTAACGGTTGTAACTTGTAAGTTTCAGTTATGTGCTTTCAATATACAGAAAAGTGTTGTTGTAGCATTAGTATTTTGACATTGAAAGAGGGGGGGTGTTGATGTATTGACAATGCTTATGTGAGTAGCGAAAGTTCAAGTGTTGAAGGATATGCTTGAGCGAGCACCGAAAATTTCATCTAGAGGGAGAGTAATAATGATCTATGTTGTTTGGCTATCATTCATTCACCTACACACATTACCTTACCCCCTTTCAATTCTCTATAACAGCGTCATGATGGCTAAGGGTTCTAAGTCCATTTAAGTGTTAGAATTTAGAAATGTGTTTTAAGTGTTTCTAACAAAATGATTACATGAAACTTCATTGTATAGTTCCCACAAGGTGCAGTGGGTCCTAAACTCCTAATATAGTTGAACAAGTTGGTCCTCTTAGGAGTTAGTAACTTGGTATAGATCAAGATCTGGCCGTTGAAACAAATTGGCCGCCCGAGCTAAACGATTCTATAATGATCAATTTATAACAACCTAGAATGTGATTTTTAATAGTTCAAAGTAAATTCTATGCAAGGAATCAGCTACTGTTACGCTTAATAGACTCATGTGGTCGGATTTCATAGGGTCTTCTTAATATTCCATAGAACCTGTTTACCTCTATTGGCTATTACAGAGACAGTAGGGCAACAGGATGGTTAAGACACAATTAGTGAATCGGAACATACCGAAAGCTATAGAGGCGGCGGTGACCGAATCGCGGAAGAGGCGAAGCGGGACAGTGGTGCAAAGCTTGAGAGCGGTGAGAGGGTCATCGGAACTGGCAATAGCCGCGGCGGCAGCTCCGCCACCAAGGACGGCGGAACCGAATAACAGCTTTGTCTGGGCGCGCCACAGAAACCGCGCAGCCATGTCGTCTGCCGCGACCCAAGTCCCAACCTCCTATAACTTCCCAACTTCGAGGTCCACAGGGGACTGGACCAGACCGGCTTATTTAAATCCCTCTGAATGACGCGCGTAGTGTTTGCCTTTGACTTTTGGCTTTCAATAGGCCAAAAGCAGTGTTTGGAAATGAAAAATTCTACTCCCTTTCTCCCTAAATGTTGTTCTAATTGCGGATTACGAAGGTTGAACGACGATAAAGTTAAATGATTCCTGTGAAAGCTCGGATTATTTTTTAGTAAATAAAATTTATATATTCAGAAACTACATTAAATCCGCTACAAAGCCTACAAAAAATCATTCAACTTTTATAAAATTTTGATATAAAAAGTAAGAGTTTAAGAGTGATTTAAGTTGACCCTCAATAAGCGAAATGGAACTTCTTTTAGGGACAGAGGAAGTAAGTAGTTTTAAGCCAAAAGTTGGAAGCTGGGTTGGGATGCTTTTATCTGCTTCTAGTATTTTTGGTAAATAAGCCTAACTATAAAGATAGTTATAATGCCAGCTTAAACCCAAAATTATCCCTCTTTTTCTACCTGCTACCTCCCAGACTCTCTGCCGACTTTGTGTCGTTCATATTATTGAGGACATGGAGAGAGTCAAAATTCCGGCCGCCACCAACTATTTGAGATCCAACAAGAACACATCTTTTCTCTTCTTCGACTTCCACCTTATCTGAGTGGACGATTGGCTTGAAGAAGAAAAACAGGATGGGGTCGGTGCTATTCTGGAGAACAGAGGGATTGACTTGTCGGCTTATATGGTTTTTGTTGATGTTAATTAATTAATGATATTGCCATTTTATATACACATATACATACAGAGTTTAGGACTACTCTTTCATAGCTGAAAGTTGCGAAGTCGAAGGGAAAGCTGGTTAGGAGCTCTTCCAACGTAGAGATGGGTATGATATTCAAGGATGTTTTTGTACTTTTCACAATCACAATCATTTTTTTATCAACACTCCAACTTTTACATTTTAATTAAATTCATTTCTATTTCCAAACACTACCGACTTTTACGGCAAATCATTTTTCTAATAATCTCTTAAGAAATCACTTTTAAAAAGCACGAATCATTGCCAACACTCCCTTATGTTGGACAAATTATGCCCTACGACCGGCGCATGATGAGGATGCTGCACCAATCCTCAAACGACAAACGACGTAGTTTTATTAATTAAAAAAGGTAAGGAACACTTTCCCGTAAACTGAAATCAGGTGTGCCGACTCTTATAACACAGCAACCTAAGCCAAGATTAAAAAAAGACAATCGTTGTTAGGAGAGAGCATTGACGAATAGGGTCATGACACTATCTATCGCCGGCGAGCTAGGGAGGAAGTGGCGGTGGCGCAACTCCTCGTCTTTGAGGCGGCGGTGCTCAGCCCTGATGTCAAATTTGATGCCATAGGGCTCACCGCCGAAAGATGTGAGGCAGGCTGGTCATCATGTGGTCAATCCCTTCTTCTTTCATGTCCAGCAGTGTGTTCACGATGAAATCAAGCTATGCTATGTTGGTGCCAGTGGAGTATCTTACTATCTTATGCAGCGGTTGCTGGCAAGGCAAGAGCACTGCACATAGAAGTTAATTACTACCTCCGTCCCACTAAGGCAGTGTTTGCGTTTGCTTGTGCTTTTCCAAAGTGATTTTTTAAAGTGATTATTGGAAAAGTGATTTTTAGTAAAAGCAGATAGTGTTTGGAAATAGAAGTGATTTTATTTAAAGTGTAAAAGCTGGAGTGTTTGATAAAAAAGTGATTTATGAGGTAATATTTGGTGAAAATACAAAAATGTCCTTGCCTTTGTTGACCTAGTATTTATTTTTCATCCCATTTATCATCACTCCCTCTGATGGGAATGGCGTGCGGGTGGGTTGGTGTCTCCGGCCATTACAGCGGTGAAGCTGGGAGTGATAATCCAGACGGATTTGGTGGCGAGGGTGAAGCTCAAGTCGTGGAGAGTTACAATCTGGGAGTTACCGCTTCATGTGGAGAGAAGCTTAACGGGAAGAGAGAGCTGTGAAAGGGAAGCGATCGAAGAACTGGGCATTTCTGCTGCACTTCTGGAATTTTCGGCGTTCCAAGAGATGGCACCGGCGATGCTTGGCGAGAGAGGGATGGGGAAGACAACCGATTTTGAAGAAATGAGAGAAGTACGATCGAGGGGGTCAGGTTGGATTTTGGCAAAAGGTTGAGGGATAAAACTGTCCTACAATTTCCACTTATTTACGTGAGTACCTAAAAGCAGATAAAAGCAGATACCAAGGTGCTTCCAGCTTTTGCATCACAATCACTTAAACAGAAGCTGTTTTTTTAATTTGCAAACACCTTTACTAGCTTTTTTAACCTCAAAAGCCCAAAAGTGATTCCTAGAATCAAACGCAAACACAGCCTAAGATTGGGACGAGAGAAAGTGGCACGATTATTAAGAAAAGTGGTTTTGTGTGGTTGATATTAAATTGATAAAGTAAGAATAAAGTAAGAATGATTTAGAGCCACACAATCTTTACCAAATTTGATACGGGACAATCTTAGTGGGACTTCCCGAAAAGGTAAAAAGGGACAATCTTAGCGGGACGGAGGGAGTAGGATTTAGGAGGTTGCTGACAAGGGGCAAGAGCACTACACGTAGAATTGAAGTTAATTAGGAATCTTCTTTTATACAGTGTGTGTATTACTATATATTACTATATTGGACAATTTACAGTTTGACTTGACTCAAGTTAAAATACTTTCGGTTACATCTATTTAGGCACGAGTTACATCATTCATGAGTTACCCTCTAGCTTAAGTTTTTTAGTTATCTAAAAAATTTGCATTATTATTGAAACAATTTACATTTCCATATATCTCAAGTTACATTGAAATAATTAGCCTGAGTTACATGTGAGTTTTTCTCTGCAAGTTACATCTTGCTTACACATGATTTACATTTTTCATAATGCGAGTTACACCACAATGAGTTACATTTGAATACATTGTATTTACATTTACAATAGCACGAGTTACATACCAAAACAAAGAATTTACATCACAAAAAAATTGAGGCAAATGCAAGGATATTGTTCACCCAAATTTTACCCCTGGGAGTACGATGCTAACCGTGCACCGGTTGCACAGTATACGGACTGCTTATTATGTGTTTGACTCATTAATCGTTATTTATTGTTGTCGTTATTTACAGGGTGTTTGAAAAGTTGGTATACCGTCGCTCCTAGGGTTGTAAACGAATCAAATAATTTTTGTTCGATTCGCGATTCGAAATTGTATAACGATTCGAATTCGGAAATTCAAATACAAATACAAATAAGAATATCAAATTTGATTCGAGTTGTTATCAAATACAAATAAGAATATCAGTGTATTTGATTCGAATATTGATCAAATATATTCGATTAATAATAGTAATATTAATATAATTATTTCTAATAAGGGTTTTTTACATGAATATTACTAAAATATGAATTTTCCCAATTTGATTTGAGAGTTATGACTACTCATTACTACAATGTAGTGTTATGGTAACTTAAGTTCAAAACTTGAACATGAATTACTATGATTTCATTACTACTCTAGTAACTAGTCATATTTTTGTAAACCATCTTTATATTTTGGTCATATTTATGTAATTATTTCTAATAATAATAGTAATAACGCCATAATAACTTTTAAAAGATAGCAATACCTTTAAAGTGTAGCCCATATATACATTTTTGCATACAGATTCCAAGCTCATTTGTAATAAACCAGAATATAAATACAAATACAAATTATTATTTTTTGGTTCACATGTCTTTCAAATACAATACAAATAATTATGTATTCGATTTGAAGAATAAAATTAGAGTTGTTTGACTTTGATATATACAATTATCAACTTATTTCACACATTATAAGTATAATTTCTGATATGTGTGTGTTAGTGTCCATTTCAAAAAGTTTGAAATAGATTTATATTTATTAATCATAAAATTAATTCACTTTAGTATATTGTGCACCATCTAAAAATGCATTGATCCATTAAATTTCAATTCTAAAAACACATATTAAGTCATAGCATGCATTTACAACATAAAAAATACGGAGTATAAGAAAAAATATTTTAAAATGATATTTGACTAATATTTAACATATGCTCAAATCGATTCGATATTCGTATATGGTTCATCAACTATTCGTATTGTTTAACAAATACAAATACAAATCGAAATTAATATTCGTTTCATATTTGAATTCGAATTCGTATTCGAAAAAATTAAACAAATACAAGTACAAATTCTCATTATTTGACTCGATTCGGTTCGTTTACAACCCTAGTTTCAGGGCACTCCCGTGAGACAGTGCAAGCATGCATGTTTTTATTTAAAACAGATCTGACCAGATTTAAACAAATCATATCAAATCAGACCAGACTTACATAGTTATAAATAATCAGATCAAATATATTATAACTGACTAGTCCAGACTTAAATAGATCAGACCAGACCAACAAATTTACGATCCAAGTAGAAATATCTCAAGTGTGCAACTATGAAAGTGTCCGCAAATTTTGGATAAATTCTCGTTTATAAATAAATATATTGAAGCACTTTATGCTATAGGCTTATCTAAATGTTGTTATAAAAGATGTAAATATGTCTAAACATATTACAAATATTAATATAAATAATTTATATTTGGTGTAATTTAATAATAATTCCGTCTCATAGAAAGTTCTCATGACAAAATGACACCGTTATTTAGACAATAACGAATTAAGGTAATTTGAGCATGCTTTGAGAAATAATTTAAATACGAATATAAAATAATGAGGTTAGTGTTGATAATTGTGATGTTATAAATGAATTGTTTTTAATATTTAATGATTAATTTATCATTTAAGATTGTTAATCATTTCTTAAAATAGAAATGAGAACTTTTATATGGGATGTCCAAAAAAGAAAAATGAGAACATTTCTATGGGACAGACAAAGTACTTTAAGATGTAAATGATATTATGAATCATAAAAATAAAAGAAGATTGTCAAATAAATTTATTTACTTTTGTAAAAAGATTAATTTCATTTGTGTACTTTTTAATGAATCAATCCG